TGGCTCAGTGGTTAAGCACCCCAGGTTCAATCACCGATACCAAAAAAAAGAAAAGAAGTAGTACTGGGGATGTAGCTTAGTGGTAAAGCATGCTGGGTTCAATCCTTAGTTAAAATAATAATAATAATAATAATAATAATTCAAATTATTGTAGTAGTTATTCCCCCCCTAGGATAAAGGTTCATCAGATTCTTTTTTTAAACTTTAAGAACACTGTTATTGAATCCCTTAAATTCTCAGAACCCAGTGACAGGGCTCTGACTATAATTTTGGCTTTAAGGAGAGGATTTCCTGATTAGGAAGCATAAATGTGTGGTCTGCTTGACAGTTTTCTCTGAAAACAGCATTCTGATTTCTTATTTGTACATCCATCTCTTATGAATTTGGTCCACATGAATCAGGCCTCTGGAGCCCTGTGACTTCTGGGTACACGTATCATAAAATTTCTGAGCCTAAACTAGTCCATAGAATGTGGTAACAAAACCACAATACTGCCACCCTGTGGACCCTTCCATGAGTTCAAAGAACAGTCACCAAGGCTTTGAATGAAAAAGCATACTGCTTTGGATACAACCCAGAGGAGACTTGGGGTGTGGGTGTAGCTGAGTGGTAGAGCACTTTCTAGCATACATCAGGTCCTGGGTTCAATTCCTGGCACCTCAAAACTAATGATGATAGAGAGGAGACTCTATCCAAAGGTCACTTTCCCTAAGCCTCCGAAATCCTTTAAAACCAGCTCAACTCTGAGTCTATCAGCTAGAACTGTCAGGAATCCTGCCCATGCCAACACCCTATTTCTACTGCCCCACAAATCCTCAGGAAAGCTCTCTTCACTATACTCACCAACAGAATTTCCTAGTGGTATTTGCTTACATAGGGCTGCTCTCCTAGACTTGGAATGTCAGCTTCCCCCAGCTCAGGTCTATAATTCTAAGGTCTGAAATTCAGATATCTCACATACCCGAAATCTCAGTCATCTTTTGCTTCTGGACAAAATGCAAGACTCTAAAGGCAGATTTTTTAGTGTGGACTTCTACAGAATCTTGTCTCCAACCTGGGTTGGCCCTCAGCATCTCCAGGGAATCTTATTCATGTTAACAATCTGGGATCAGTAACTCATCCTGTCTCCCAGGAGGCATCCACCATTCTCCCCTTCCTGCCCTTCTTCATCCAGTAGATGTGCCTACCACACCCATGATAAAAACACAGGAGAGACAGAGAAGGGTCTTCTCCCTCAGCAAGCCCTCCAATTCCTCCAATGCCTGCATCGATCCCACACCAGCCTTTCAAGTCTTCCAGATCTTTCTCTGATTCAAGGATAGTCTCACTCCTTGGGCACTGGGGCGACCTCTTCTTTTGTCCCCCTGGGTACATTACATCTCTTACTTTCTTCCTCACATGAGGTTTTGGTTTTGGTGCTGGGGATCAAGTCCAGGGCACACAAATTATATTGTTAAATTGTGTGCATATACAAATACATAACCATGAATCCCACCATTACGTAGGACTATCATGTACCAATTAAAAAATATGGGGAAAAATATCGAGGGCACATGCTAGTCTCATGTTCTACCACTAAGTCACATCCCCAGCTCTTTCTCACTTCTATTTTTAACTTCTCCAGGCTTCTTCCCTCTGTGTGCAAAGTCTCTTTCACCCTAAATAGAAATCTCTTGGATCCTGTGTTCCTGTCTAGCTACCTCAACTTTCTTTCTCTCAAATCACAGTCACATAGTCACGGTATTTAATCAACCAAATCTGGCTCCAACTTATCACCTGCATTTCATTTTTCCACTCCCAGATATTGGCTTTTCTTACCACATCATTGAAACTGCTCAAGGATCTGCTGATTTCCAAATCCAATGGACTCTTTTCTGTTTGTTTGCTTGCAGTATTAGGGATTGAACCCAGGGGCACTCCATCACAGAGCTACATCCCCAGGCCTTGTTATTTTTTTATTTTGAGACAAGAGCTCTCCAAGTTGCTCAGCCTGGCTTTAAATTTGTGATCTTCCTTCCCCAGCCTCCTGAGTTGCTGGGATTACAGACAGGCTCTACCACACCTGGCTCCCAGTCTTATTTTCAATGAGTACCCCTAGGTTCTTATGACATAGTCATGACCAGCTCCTTATACTTCCAAATAGACTCCAAATAAATGTCAATGGAATCTATACCTTTGTTATTTGTTTTGCTTTTATGGTTTTGGGGATAGAACCCAGGGCCTTGAACATGCTAGGCAAGCGCTCTGCCATTGAGCTACAGTTCCAACCCTATACCCTCATTTATGCTGCTCCCACTGGTAGAATCCCTTCCCTGCATTTACCCTTCAGCTCAGGGGACCCATCCTCACCTTCCAGAATACACTAGAGTTTTCTCCTTCCTCTATAACGCACATTTGGTCTTTTCTCCCTTCCCATCAGGTAATACTATTTCTTTCTTTGTCTTCTCTCCATACTCTATAAGTGGATATTTACATCTACAAGTATAGCTAATAAGGGCTAGGGCTGGGACTCAATGGTAGAGTGCTCGCATGGTACGCGTGAGGCACTGGGTTCAATACTCAGCACCACATAAAAATAAAAGTATTGTGTCCACCTACAACTTATATATATACAGATAAATTCACAATATCTACAAGAATATCTGCTCCTTTATGTGGGCCTCCCACCCAGAAACTGTTGTTCTTAAGAGCATGTGACTACCCTATACATATGCCTTTTTACACCTGGCACAAAGCACAATCCCTGATACTGAGCAAGGTTGAGATAAGTGAATATACTATGAATTGTCACAATACCTATATTTTATTTATTTTCATGCTGTGCTGAGGATACAACCTAGGGCTTCACGTGTGCAAGGTAAGCACTCTATCACAGAGTTACAACCCCAGCTAGTAAATAAGGAGTTGAACATTTAGCCCACCAACACTGGGAGTCATACACACAAAAAAACATATTTCAGGGAGATTAAAGAAGTTAGGAGCTAAAGGTGTAGCTCGCAATGGTAAAGCATGTGCTTAGCATGTGCATGACACTGGGTTCAACATTTAGCACCAGAGAGAGAAAGAAGGTTGGATGCAGAATGATTTTAGGGGAAACCAGGGAGGATATAGCTATAATGGGACAGTCAAGAAACAAGATAGTGCTGAGCATGATTGTGCTTGTTACTCCAGCAACTCAGGAGACTGAGGCAGATGGATCACAAGTTCAAGACCAGCCTCAGCAACTTAGCAAGACCCTTTCTCAAAAACAAAAAGGCTGAGGATGTAGCTTGCTGGTAAGTGGCCCTGGTCAATCCACAGAACAAAAAAAAAAAAAAAAAAAAGTAAACATGTTGCTTGGCATAATGGCTCATGCCTGTAACCCCAGCAACTCAGGAGGCTGAGACAGGAGGATTATAAATTCAAGGCCAGTCTGGGAAACTTAGAAAGAACTTGTCTTTGTAATAAAAGCTAAAAAGAGCTGGGGATATAGTTTAATAGTTAGAAGACCTCTAGGTTTATTCCCTAGCACCCCACCCCCCACCCAATGTAACCACATTCCACAAAAAGGGTCCCACAGGGACTTACCCATTCCTAATATCACATGCAACAAGATACATGTATCAGATTTATCAACTGTCCCCATACCAAGAGCATCATCCCTCCTAAGGGACTATATTTGGATACGTAATGGACCAGAACAAGAAAGATACAAGTGCATGAGCACTGCTCAGATGCCAAGACCAGGGATCCCAAGACCCCAGAAGGCATTGAATATCATGGTAGAAGTGAGATGTGGGGAGTCATGAGAAAAGGGAGGAAAAAGGACAGAGACAATTCTGGTCACCATTTTTCTGGGGCTAGCCCAGTCCATTTTGCTCTTCCTTGAGCACAATTGTCCCTGGAAAGGACATATCCCTTTGCAACAGAGATCTGGGTTATACATTCATAAGCAGTCAGTCTCCCACCAGGCAAGATCTGAGGGTCAAGGCAAAGAAAAGGAAGAGGAGAGAATTGGGCTCACCGGCCATAACATGGTTCTGATCTCCAAGAAGAACACATTATCCGCGTGGAACTCCTTCAGCCCCTGGAAGATATAATCCTTGAACACTGGAGCATGACAGACAAGGCCAGAGATGGAGAGAAAGATGTTTTGAAACTTTGTCCGAAGGGAATCTTCATTGGGATAAATCTTCTCGGGGTTCTTGGTCACCATAGTGAAAGCCCTCAGCAAGCTACAGGATAAAGAAGGGGAAATAAAAGTTGGGATACAGCACTTGGCTAGCACGCACAAAACCCTAGGTTCCATTACTAACACTGCAAAAAAGAAAAAGAAGAGGAGTTAAGGAAGATTCAGGCCATCGAGTCCAAGAATAAACCAGGATACACCCTAGTGGGCAGAGACCTGGAACAGGCAAAGGGAAGCATCTGGGGGTTTTGTTTTTGTTTTTGCAGTTCTGGAAATTAAACCTAGGGCTTCATACATGCTAGACGAACACTACCACTGAGTTGCATTCCAGTCCTTTTTATTTTATTTTAAGATAAAGTCTTCCTAAATTGCTGAAGTTGATCTCAAATTTGCAATCCTCCTCAGCCTCCTGAGTAGCTAAGATTACAGGCATGTACTACAATGCCTGGTCTTTCTGATATAAGCCCAGGTCCAGTGAAGAGGTAATTGGTTGCTTACTCTAAGTTCAAGATGGAGTGCACACTAGCAAGACTCTCCTGTTCTTCCACATATTTGGCCAACTTGACCCCATTTTATCCACATCTTAGACCAAGCTCTCTTTGTGTGTGTGTGGGGGGAGGGGGCGGGTAATATCATGAAATGAATTGTGTCCCCACTGTGAGAAATACAAAATCCAGTGGTCCATTTTCAGAATACACTTATTTAGCCTTAGATATAAAATTGGGATGTAAGAACAGCAGCTGGAAGGGAAATAGAACTGAATGGAAAGTTATATGCAGCTAACTCACACAATAGTACCACAGCCCATGCATGTGGCAGATCCAAAGTCCAAGCACTTGAACTGCCCTTTGACAAACAGGAAGTGGGGAGGGGTTGCCCAACCATCAAAAATAGGAATCTCTTGGGGCTGGGGATGTGGCTCAAGCGGTAGCACCCTTACCTGGCATGCGTGCAGCCAGGGTTCGATCCTCAGCACCACATACAAAGATGTTGTGTCCGCCGAAAACTAATAAATAAATACTAAAATTCTCTCTCTCTCTCTCTCTCTCTCTCTCTCTCTCTAAAAAAAAAATAGAAATCTCTCTGTTAAGAAATAGTAACTTAGGTCAAGAAGTAAGAGCTCCACATATGTCAATATATTCCTGCCCCAAGAATATTTTCCCACAAGGAAACAAAAGGGAGGTGGGACCGATCAAAGGTATATTTCTCTAAATAACCTAATGGGAGACAGTAAAACCTAGGTGACATTTGGGAAGATGGTATACCCCATAGTACTCAGCCAATGAGGAACCAGGGGAAGGACCTCATGCTCTATAGGATACAATGCTGATGGTAACTGCTTTGGGTGCACCAGACACCCAATCTTGCAAGACCATCACTAAAGCCTTGCTGTTTTGGCTGTACCTTGTGTCTCTATTCTTTGGGTTTGGACAAGTGAGTGTATTTGTCACACCACTCCCTCAAGTGCACATATTGAAGTCCTAACCTTCAATGTGACTATATTTAGAGGAAGGTCTATTTACTTATTTATTGGTACTGGGGGTTGAACCTAGGCGTGCTTAACCACTGAGCCACATCCTCAGCCCTTTTTATTTTTTATTTTTTGAATTTTGAGACAGGGTCTCATTAAGTTGCTTAAGACCTTGCTAAATTGCTGAAACTGGCTTTGAACTTGCAACCCTCCAGTTTCAGCCTCCGGAGCCGTTGGGATTACAGGTGTGTGTCATCATGCCCAGTCAAAATGGTCCTTTTAAGGAGGTAATTGAGGTTAATTGAAGTTGTGAGGGTAGGAACCTGATCCAATAGGACTGAGGTCCTTATGAAAAAGAGGAGGAGATACCACAGATGTGCATTCACAGAGGAAAAGTCACATGAGGATACAGAGAAAAGGCTGCACACCTATTAGAGAGGCCTCAGGAGAAACTAACCCTGTGTGCACCTTGACCTTGGACTCCAGGCTATCCATAACTGTGAGATAGTACTTTTTTTTTTTCTTTCTTTCTTTTGTGTGTGTATGTGTGTACTGGGGATTGAACCCAGGGCCTTGTGCATGCAAGGCAAGCATTCTGCCAACTGAGCTATATCCCCAGCACTCTGAGCTCAGGTTTTTATGCATGGGTGGTACCAAGGATTTCATACCTACATACTGCTCATTGCCTAGGATAGGTCTGTGACACATGCTTTCTGAACCACCACTCACCTTTTATCAAACTCAACGGTGTCCTTTAGCTTTTTTCTGTGATCCTCCAGCAAAACCCAGTTTGAACATTCTCTTGCCTTAAGGTTTTGGGGAGCTGACTGAGCAAATCTGAACTGCAGAATCCCCTCTGGGGTGATACAGAAATAGCAGTGAGGCCTGTAGGTGACGTTTTTTACCAGCCATTCCATACTCACCATGCCAAATTCATGGAGGTGTAAGGCAGCCCCTGGAAAGGGAAGAACAGAGAAGGGACAAAGGAGGTGAAGTCCAGATACTAGGGATTAGGAGACTGTAAAGGCAGTGTAGAAGGACAAGAAGAAGTGTGAAGCATGTGAATTTCTATCTTTCTGGCCAAATTCCTCAGACTCGAATGTGATGTACCTTTCCTGTTCCCATTCCAAGACCCCACTATCCTACTTCTTGCCTTTGTCTTCTCAGGAGGGCCACAGTTTTCTTTGCTATGAGTGGGGCTTCACACTCAGCAAGGTGGTGCAGGCCCATAACCCCAGCTACTCAGGAGGCTGAGGCAGGAGGATTGCAAGTCTGAGACCAGCCTGAGCAACTTAATGAGACGCTGTCTCAAAATAAAAAATTAAAAGGGCTGGGGATGTAGCTTAATGGTTCAGCGCTTCCTGGGAAGTCTGAGGCCTTGGTTCCATCTCCCACATCATAAAAAAAAAAAAAAAAAAAAAGAGTGGGGCTTCCTTGGTCTCCTCCTGCACTAGTTAGATGTCATGGGTGGTCTCATTCAACAGAGGCAGCATGGTAGGGTGGGAGGGTATCAGGCATCAGACTTGGAATCAGAAGACTGGGGTTCAAGTTGGGTCTCTGCCAGCTTTTCTTTCTCAGTTGAAGCCTGAGAGTAATTTGAGACCTTGTTACTCAACACCCCAAGAAGGGATATAATGAAATTGAACATCAGGAACCCAGACCTGTTTCCAGACGTGTCCTTGATTCTCATGTCCTGATCCCCAACCCCTCTCCCTGCACTGATATTTCAATCATTGCTCTGAGCCACTATCTGTGCGGTTTCTGGCCTTCGGACCTTGCCATTTGAGACCTCACATTTGTCCTTCAGACCAAACATCAGTTTTACTCTGGTGTTCCTCAAGAAATACTACATACTGTCCCTGTTCTCTTTGCTCCATCTAGCACCTGATCCCGACATTAGCCTCTCAGCAGGTGTCCCAGCCCTGTGAGCTCTGGTATGACACCCTCTCTAACCCTTACATTCCCCACAAGCTGGGGATGCTACTTTATTGACTTCAATTATTATTGTTATTTGAGATGGGGGTCTCACTATGTTGCAAAGACTGGCCTCAAATTCCTGGGCTCAAGGTACGGTGGGTGGTACAGACCTATAATCCCTGTGGTTCAGGAGGCTGAGACAGGAGGATCACGAGTTCAAAGCCAGTCTCAGCAACTTAGCGATGCCCTAAACAACTCAGTGAGACCTGTCTCTAAATAAAATACAAAAAAGGACTGGAGATGTGGCTCAGTGGCTGAGTGCTCCTGGGTTCAATCCCTAGTACCAAAAACAAACAAAAAAAACAAAACAAAACCAAAACCCCTCTCTTTATAGCATTTAAAAAAGAGGTATAGGAAAGTCCTCATAAGCTGGAAGAAGCTATTTTGTTTTTGCTTGTTTGTTTGTTTATTTGTTTGTTTTGGAGAGTTTTTGTTTTGTTTTATTTTGTTTTGAAGGTGCTGGGGATTCAAACCAGGGCCTCCTGCATGCAAGGAAAGCTTATACCACTGAGGAACATCTCCATTCCAACCAGTATCTAAATAGTGATTTAGATGTGCAAACTTAAAATGATTTTTCTTTTTTTTCTTAATTTGTAATATGATTGTATTGATTGATTGATTAATTGAATTAAAAAATAAATGATAGTGGAATACATTACAATTCTTATTACATGTATACAGCACAATTTTTCATATCTCTGGTTGTATATAAAGTATGTTGACACCAGTTCTTGTCCTCATATATTTACTTTGGATAATAATGTCTATCACAGTCCACCATCCTTGCTAATCCCCTGCCCCCTCCCTTTCCCTCCCACCTCTCTTCCCTATCTAGAATTCATCTATTCCTCCCATGCTCCCCCTCCCTACCCCACTATGAGTTAGCCTCCTTATAACAGAGAAAACATTTGACATTTGTTTTGGGGGGATTGCCTAACTTCACTTAACATTATCTTCTCCAACACCATCCATTTACCTGCAAATGCCATGATTTTGTTCTCTTTTTTAAAAATGATTTTTCTTATCATAGGAAGGTGTTACACTACTCCAGGATGCTGTATCATATTGCATCCTATTTGGTGACAGTCCCTGGAGAAAGGTTAGAAGAAACTGTCATGAGGAAAGTTATGAAGGAAATAATAAAGTTCTCTGGGCCCTGGATGCTGTGTTAGGGAAGACCAGGAATATCCCAGCCTACTCTGTGGCTGAGTCCCCTAGGAAGCAAAGTTTTTATTTCAAGGATGAACCAATAACCACCATTGAATCCTTGCTTCTTAGGTTGGCAATAAGAGCAAAGAGAACTGTAGTTGCTACTCCATTTAGGATAATGACAACTTCCATGACAGTGACAATTCCAATTTTAGTTTCTTCCCATGTCCCAGCACCCCAAAACTATCCTTCTCCAAATTTTACCTTTTTTATTTTTTTTAGTTGTAGATGGACAGGATATCTTTATTTATTTATTTGTTTATTTATTTTTATGTAGTGCTGAGGGTCGAACCCAGTGTCTCACACATTCGAGGCAAACAATCTATCGCTGAGCTACAGCCCCAGCCCTCCAAACTTTACCTTTAGGCATCTTCTTTATTACATGAAACACCCGGCTGTCCTCAATGAGATGCTTGGCCTTGAAGAAGTGCATACTGGGCGGAAACTGGTGGGTCTCCATGGCCTCCATGATCTCCCTCTTTTTGATGGCCATGAGGTTCCTATTGGCCTTCTTCTCTTGGCCATTCATCAGCACCTCTGACCCAAATCGCATTCTCTTCTCTTTCACTAATAGCCGACTTCGTGCTTCATCCATAAATATGTTGGACCTGACAAAGGAGATTTCCACAGCCAAAACCAGGGCGAGCAGCGCTGGCCACCCAGATGAATCACCCACCAGCACTGGGAGGCCTGGAAGAGAAACTGCTCAGAGGACATTCAGTAGGACTACAAGGGAATTAAGCAAATGAAAATCTGCAGATCTAAAGATCCAACTCTATGTTCAAGGCCCTGGGTTCCATCCCTAGCTTCCTAAATAAAAAAATAAATGTTGAACTCTGATTTTCCTTTTCCTACCCATTCTCAGATTACCCAGAGGTAGGATATTGACTAATTATTCTCTGAGACCCCAGAAGAAAAAGACCTCTAGATACAGACATGTAGGGGTTTTCCTAATAAAAGGTCATCAGGAGGTCTCTTTACATTGAAGCTTTGGGGGATAAGCCCTGCTCTCAAATAAAGAAAGATACTGCATGCTGGGTACAGTGGTGCTCACCTCTAGTCCCAGCTACTTGGGAGGCTGAGGCAGGAGGATCACAAGTTTGAGACCAGCCTGGGCAACTTATACCCTGTCTCAGAAAAAAATAGATACGTCAGACCCTGGGTCAATCCCTCTTACAAAGAATAGGAAGGAAGGAAGGGAATACAGAAAGACACTGCAATCCAATTTTTAGAGATTTACTTTAGGGAAGAAAGAATCACAAGACATTTGAAGAAAATCTCTAACATGAGTAAGAAACACACCGAGATGCCAGGCACAGTGGCACATGCCTGTAATCCCAGTGATTTGGGAGGTTGAGGCAGGAGGATCATGAGTTCAAGGTCAACCTCAAAAACTTGGTGATGCCTTAAGCATCAAGATCCTATCTCTAAGAAAAATATAAAAAAGGGGTGGGGTGCTGGGGCTGGGGCTCAGTGGCAGAGCACTTGCCTTGCATGAGTGAGGCCCTGGGTTCGATCCTTAGCACCACATAAAAATAAAGAGATAACTAAAGATATTGTGTCCATCTACAACTAAAAAAATATTTTTAAAAGGTGGGTGGGGTGGGGATGTGGCTTAGTGTTAAGTGCCCCTAGGTTAAATCCCAAGTACCAAAAAAAGAAAAGAAACACATAAAGAACCCAAAGGGAAGGGCTGGGGATGTGGCTCAAGTGGTAGTGCGATTGCCTGGCATGCGTGTGGCCCGGGTTCGATTCTCAGCACCACATACAAACAAAGATGTTGTGTCCACTGAAAAATAAATAAATAAATAAATAAATTCTCTCTCTCTCTTAAATAAAAAAAAAAGAACCCAAGGGGAAACAGAGGTGATTCAGGGAAATGAGGGGGAAAAATACAGAACTATAATTAATATTCTTAAAAGGATAAGAAAGGATAATGTGTCGACCAAGTGGGAAAAAGATTTTGTAAAAAAATGATCAAAGTTTGAGTTCGGCCTTGGGAGTTCACTGAGACCCTGCCTCAAAAGAAAAAAGAGTGGGGCGGACTGGGGATGTAACTGTGTACAGTACCCCTGGGTTCAATCTGAAGTACCACTAAAAAAATAATAATACAGAGGACTGGGGGTGTAGTTCAGTGGTAGAGCGCTTACCTAGCATTGAAAAGAGAAAAAAAAAAAAAGACTGTAAATTAGGACACTTTAGGAACAGATTCAAAGTAGTATCTAAGTATTTAACTGTGAGACCTCAGACAAATTACTAATGTCTATGGACATCAGTGTCCTGCAAAAAGGGTGATGCGGGGCTGGGGATATAGCTCAGTTGGTAGAGTGCTTGCCTCACATGCAAGAAGGCCCTGGGTTCAATCCCCAGCACCAAAAAAACCAACAACTCAAACAAACAAACAACTCAAAAATGGTGATGTTAGACCAGATCAGTGATTCCACTTCATCACTGCTAAGGATGGCTTTTGAACTTTTGATCCTCCTGTCTCAGCCTCCTTAGCCACTGGGATTACAGGTGTTCACTACCACACCTGGCTGCATGATGATTTTTTTAAGCAGTTCACAAACGGATATAAATTATTTTGATAGATATGTGGGGTTTTTGTTGGTGGTGCTGGGGATTGAAACCAGAGCCTCACACATGCTAAGCATAATCTACCATAATCTACCATTAAGATGCACCCCAAACCAGACATGTAGTTTAAAAATGTGTATTAGCACATTAAGCCCATAATAGTATGACTACTACTGTTTTGGTTGAATTTTTAAAAATTTAGCTGGGTGCAGTGGTACACACCTATACTCCCAGTGACTTGGGAAGCTAAGGCAGGAAGATTGAAAGTTCAAGGCCAACCTCAGCAATTTAGGGATACTCTGTCTCAAAATAAAATAAAAATAAAAATAAAAATAAAAATGACTGGTGATATAGCTTGACAGTAAAGTGCCCCTGGGTTCAATCCCCAGTACCAAAAAATAAATAAATAAATAAAGTAAGTCAATTCAAAGAAATATATTAAATAAATAAGGGAGAGGGACACAATCACACACACATAATTTCAACAAATTGGGAGGCTGAGGCAGAAAGATTACAAATTCTAGGGCATCCTGGGCAACTTAGCAAGATCCTGTCTCAAAATAAAAATTAAATAAAGGGGTGGGGGGAATTTAATTCCCAATTCCCAGTTTGGAATCATTACACTATATTATATCCAAGCTTTTTATCAGTTCTGCCATTCATTATTCTATGGTATATCAGATAGCAAGAGGGAATTTTAAGAGAGAATTAGTCACCAGCATCATAATTATGGTAGGGACTAATCCCTTTGAATCAGAGTTGGATTTTGTCTTTTTTCTAGCAGTCTTAAGGATTGAACCCATGGATGCTCTACTACTGAACCTTTTTTTTTTTATTTTGAAGCAGGTTTACCCAAAGGTTGCAAAAGATGGCCTTGAATTTGCAATCCTTCTGCCTCAGCCTCCTGAGTAACTGGGATTACAGGCATGTACCACCACACACGAGCAGAGTTGGACTTTCTTTTTTTTTTTTTTTTAGATGCTGGGTATCAAACCCAGGGACTTGTGCATGCAAGGCAAGCACTCTACCAACTGAGCTACATCCTCAGCCCTAGAGTTAGACTTTTTTTTTTTAAACTTTAAGAGAGAGTGAGAGAGGGGAGGGAGAGAGAGAGAGAGAGAGAGAGAGAGAGAGAGAGAGAGAGAGAGAGAGAAAGAATTTTTTAATATTTATTTTTTAGTTTTCAGCGGACACAACATCTTTGTTTGTATGTGGTGCTGAGGATGTCACACGCCAGGCTACCGCTTGAGCCACATCCCCAGCCCCTAGAGTTAGACTTTTGAAAAACCCTCAACTTCATCAAGTCCTCAGATCTCTTCTTAGAATACAGTAATTGCCAACAGCAAAACTTCCAGGGCAAAAGGTCAGTAATCCCATATCACTCTCCCACTGGTACCACAAATGCTACATCCTCCATTCAGTGGTTCCAGGTCCTTCTCCCTCTTTCTCTGGTGATACATAACAGAGGCCACCAAACATTTGTGTCCCAGCATCTAGATACTTTTCCTGGCCTACCAGACAAAATTTATTACTAACGCTGGTCAAGATCAGCCTGGGTATGACAGATGCAGTAGTGCAGCCTGTAATCCCAGCAATTTGAGAGGCTGAGGCAGGAGAATCGCAAGTTCAAAGCCAGCTTCAGAAGATTAGGGAGGCACTGAGCAATTTAGTCAGACCGAGTCTCTAAATAAAATACAAAAAAAGGGCTGGGGATGTGGCTCAGTAGTAAAGCGCACCTGGGCTCAGTCCCCAGTACCAAAAAAAAAAAAAAAAAGTAAAGATTAGCCTGGTCTACTGTAAGGAAAAATAATTCCTTTCAATAATCCCTTAATTGATATACCTACTTCATCTTCTGGCCTTCATCTTTCAATTTTAAAAGAAGGTACACGAAAATTCTGAAAAGTTTTCAGACTAAGAAGAAGGGAAGTAGCTGGGAGTCAGTGTCCTTGAACCCACAGGGTTTTTCACAAACCCTTTGTGGAGATTCCTTCTCCACAGAAAGTTGAACGCCCACCTGGGGAAGGTCAGGGAAGGATGCCATATAAACAAACCCCAGTGCTCCACAGTTACCTCAGGGCAGCCCCAGAAACTAGCTGTTTGCTTAGTTCTCCCAACAGCTGTGTCAGAAGCACCAGAAAAGCACCCGCTGTCTCACTTTCTGTCAGGGCAGGTTTCACTTCCCTCCAGCCCCCAGTCGCACAGGCCTCTGAGGAGAGGCTGGAGAAGAGCTGCCCTGAGGGCTGAGGGTTCTGGGAGGGGCAGGCGTGGGGTTTACACTTGTTTGTGTAGGTTTCTCTGTGTCTTCCTAAGGGGTGAGTTAGGCTTGTGTCTGTGCATTTTTGTGTCTGTGGGAGTATCTATGTGCATATTGATGTGCTGAATGTTTTCATGTGCCATTTATGTGGGGAGCTATGTATATAAATGTTTCTGTGGATGCATGTGAATTTATGTGGGAGGTTGCATTTATATTTGTGTTGATGTCTATGTATTTGTAGGGAGGGTTATACACATTTGTATTTGCGGTGAGTGTGTGTGTGTGTGTGTGTGTGTGTGTGTGTGTGTGTGTCTGCATGAGCCTATGGGCTTATGTGTTCTGTGTCTTCCTAAGGTATGGACAACAAGTGTCACCAAGAGGCACTCCAGAATCTGTGAACTTTGGCAAGTATATCCTTTCTCAGAATGTGATTGCAGGGGTTGGGAGTGTAGCTTGGTGGAGAGAGCATGCTTAGCATGTTCAAGGCCCTGGATTCCATCCCCAGCATTAAAAAAAAAAAAAAAAAAAAAAAAGTGATCTTGGATTGTGGGGCAATTTACTGGGCAGAGGATGAAAGAGTAGAGGTAATAAAATGTAAATGGTGAGTGGAAAATCAGTGCTGTGGAGACAGGACGGTGGAAAGTGTGGAGAGGTGTGAAGCTAGAGAGTTAGGTGGAGGGAAAGTCAAGAACAGTACCTCCAAGGGAGGGGGTGGGGGTGGGGGGAGTAAATCAAGCCCTGAGGAGGGCTGTAGTCGCTTTCCTTTGCACCTCACCTTACCTTGGCCATGATATTTAAACTCTCTACACGTTTTTTTGTTTTGTTTTTGTAGTTGGACACAATACCTTTACTTTATTTATTTATATGTGGTGCTG